AGGCACCACAGCCACTATCGATGCTACCGGCTGAGTACAAAACAAGGATTTATTTATTTTAAATACGTCATTTTTTGTAATTAAAGGGGGCAAACGAGGGACGGCACAGGAGTGGTCCCATGGACTTCCGCGACACCAGAAGAAATACCGATGCGTTGCCAACCTTTTAGGAAATCATAGACTCGTTTCTTGAAGGACCCTAAGTCGTATTCTTCCGAATATGAAGTGACAAATGATAGAGATTTCAAGCTAGCTTTTAAAAAATGAAATCTAACTGCATATTAATAAATTCATACCCTATGATGTAATCGCTCTTCAATAATAGTGGGCGGAGGCGACGGCGGCGTAGTGTCCTCGCACAGAGCACCGAAGCCCTCATGTCCCGCCTCAGACAGACTCCTTTCTAACTCTATAGGGTCAGCTAGCAGACGAGATGGTACTACCGGCGCTTGAGATGCACCTAGAGACTGTAAAGAGTTGCTATATGTAGAGAGAACATTCAATTATTAAAAAAACACAAGTGTAACACAATTCACTTGTTAATTGGTCTGTGTACATTTCTAATACTAAATCAACGCATGGTGAGACTTGGATTGTACGAAAAAAATATTTGCTGTACATAAACAGTAAAGAAAATAATAAAACCGTAAACACTAGCTAATAAAATCGCCGGCGACTAGTTCCGCATCGCGTCAGTTTATTTAACATCCGTCGATCGCCACCGGAAATGTGACGTCGGTGTTTCCGGTTGCGACGTAATTGCGCTACGACGTCGCTTAATAGACACTAATTTGACTTCATTTCATTCGATTCAAATATGTTTCAAGGAATATTCGATTATTTTAAAACGAATTTTCTTTTATTACTGGCTATTTTTCACAAAACAATTGAATGAAGATTAAAAATTCCGCATGTCTTAACTTGTTATAACATAAAACACTTTTATAGAAGTTAGCAAACTTCAAAGGAAGCAACTGTCTTTGTCAGAATGTCCCCATTTCATTTTTAATGACACTCGAGATTCTTTTCTCTATTCTGTACTGCACAGTACAAGTTTTTAAATCTATTTCCACATGGCTTGAAATATAGGTCTAAAAATGTTAATACATCTTGAAAAACAATTAAAATATACAAGAGGATGTATGTATGTACTGTATTTATACGATTATTTTGTAGGTCATCTCAAAGCTAAGACATTAATATTAGCAAATATATATTTACTAGCGTTTGACCACAAAACCACAAGTTATTAAATGACGAGATCCAAGGTTAATGCAGTAGTTTAAAATTAGGTTTTTTTTTAAAATCTTATTATGAACACATTTTACATGCGTGACGTTTTTAAGCATTTCGTTACATGAAAAAGAAGTAAGATATAATACATTTAAGAGTGAGTGAGACATATAGAGTTATCAGCGTTTCGATTGCGTTGTGATGTTATTTGTAACTGGACAATGAAGTTGCTTTGACTAATTTTAACGAATAAAAAAACTAAAAGGTATAACGAATACAATCTTACTAATATAAATGCGAGTTTAGATGGATGGATGTTTGTTAGAGTTGGTAGCTTAAATGACTAAACGGATTTCGGTGAAATTTGGCATAGACGTAGAGCATAGTGAGAAAAAACACATAGGCTACTCAATTTTGATTCGTTTCGTTCCACGCGGACGGAGTCGCAGGCGAAAGCTAGTATTGAATAAAAATGTATTACAATTGTAAGAATTGCAATTTTGAATCCTAAAAAGTTAAATGAAACCGTCCCATTGTTTTAACAGACTGTAATATTTCTATTTTTTCACTGATTTATTATTACAAATTCAAACCAAACGTAAAATAAGGCAATTAATTTTTATGTGAACATATTAAACCATTTTAATAACACAAAAAGCAATATTCGCAACGAGGTATAAGTAATTCCTTAAATTGCTTTCAGTAAAACAGCCTTTTACGAATTATGTAATATTTTATATCAGGCAAACCTTTTACAAAATCCCTATAACATAAAGAACCCTCCAGAAACCTTTCCCCTGCCATATTCCTGTCAGTTTTGATGGATTGAATCAGACCCTCTTTAGTGACTTTATTTCCGGACAGGTTTAATTCGACTTGTGTTTGTTTTTCTTTAATACAAAAGAATTGATACAACAATCAACTGGTTACCTATTTTGGATTCTTGTATTCGGCATTAAACTTATACTGTGAACTAGTATTGACCCGCGACTTCGACCGCGTGGATTTAAATTGCAAACAAAAGTAAACCTATGTGTTCTTCCAGACTATCTTCTACTATGCCAAATTTCATAGAGATCCGTTCAGCAGTTAAGGCTACAAACATCCATCTAAACTTTCGCATTTATAACATTAGTGAAATATTAAGTTTAATATTTGGATAGTAATATTTTAGATGACAAGGTCCAGCTCAAGGTCATTTGCGTTCACTCCCTCCCGCATCACTTTACACGTAAAATTACGTCCGAAATATCTAATGTTACCTTTTGATCCTGGAACATTTGACAATCGCTATACGATAGTATTACCTGCATAGACGGTGGTAAAGCGGCGGACGCAGGCCGGGCAACAAGCAGACGCACGCAGGCCCCGCATTGACGCAGTACAGCCGCCGCCTGCCGTGCGCACATTCCTACCACCGACACAGCGCCGATGCGTAGAAGCATGTCTCCACTCCGTAGGCGACCATCCTGAGGACAAAATCTTATTTAGCAAGATAATGGTGACTGAGATGATGGATGACAGAGTTATTTGAAGGACAGAAGACAGGATTAGGATAAGGTAGGGGAGATGATAGCAGAATAATCGAAGCGTCAATGGTTTGTAGAATTCCGGTCATGAGGTCGAAAGTTCGAATCCCGCAATTAGAATATTATTGTTATCCATATCCTAGCACCTGCATAAAACTTAGTTGGAATGGTTACAAGAAATATTGATGAATTAATAAAAAATACTACAAATATTTAAAAACAGAACGATCTTGATCCCAAGATGATGAATAATTCTATTCGGGGTCTATTGTAAAAGTTTAGTTACTAGAAATTATGAGATCAACATATTTCTAACAAAACATTCTTTTCCTCAAAAACTGTGGTTAAAATAAGATAATATCCATATTTCTATGACTGCTTTTACACGTCGAAAATCCACATATTCATTTCAAACATCCTATATTCAATCACTCACAAAGTATGAAAATACCTCAATGAATTACCAAACATGAAATAAACAAGTCGATATTTTAAAAAATCTTCAAAAGAGAATACATCAAACAGAATCCCCCACCTAATGTAGGCCACACACGTTAGGTTTTCTATAACGGTTTTAACCTTGTAAGCGAATTTCATACACACAACTATATAAACATATACAAACGCTAAGGTTTATCTATTATTCTCGCATCTAATACTGTTATTGATACATTTTATTATCATTTTTAATCACTTTCACAAAGCAAAACACAATATTCGGGTACTACTATAAGTATTGCAGCAATAAATTCCACAAGGTCAAAACCAAACGTGTGTGACCCGCATTACAAACACAATATCGTACGCTAACGATCGATATATTGCTGTTTGGCTACAAGAATAGAAACGAGTTCAATTCTCACTTCAGTTATATGTTTGTAAACGTTCCCTACAATTTGGATACGAAACATTTGTGCCAAATGCGGAATATTGATGGAAATATTTGCAATTTAATATTAGAACTGTTAAGTAATCATGCAATACGTAGATATTCTAAAATTATGAACGTCAAATGGAAATCTGTAATCATTGCCAAAAATTGGTTTACGCGAGTACAGTATTACTTGGCTACGAAGGTAGAGGAAGACCGAAGACAGTATGTATGAATTGTGTAAAAAAGGATATGATTAAGGAAGTGATAGATGGTATGGAAGAGCAGCACATGCCGACCCTCCGTAGGGCAAGGGCAGATGATGACTGGATAAAAAGATTGATTTCATGACAGTATGTACGAAACTCAGGAGAAAGTATTAGAGTAGACCGAAATTTTTAACAGCTAAGTTTATAATAGTGAAAGTATTTTACGGTTCAATAGTTCTTATGACAAACAAATCATATTTTTCTGTTCGTTATGCTTGCTCTTTACCACAATCAAATGAAAGTAATGATGCAGCCGAAAGATGGTAAGCGGTAGCTTAATCAATTTCATCTAATATATTAACAAAGTTCCAAAAAATGGATAGTTTGAAGAATTAAAAACAAAATTCATCATCATTAACATGGTTATTAAGCTTATTTTATTATTACTAGTGTATAGCGACCTCCGACTATTTACGCTCCCTTTTACATCTTGGGAAGAGGGGTGGCTGACCAGTATCGGTTAAGCTGAGCCTCCCCCTTTTGCCATCTGTTATAATTTTTTCATGTATGATTTTTATTTTGTACAACTCTGTGTATTCTTGGATGGCAATAAAGAGGTTTTTATTTTTATTATTATTTATTTATTAACATTAAAAAAGTTGGTTGTTTTTAATAAATACAACATTTTACTTATAAATACGTTCCAGAACTTTCTAACGTTCGATTGTAATTACGTCATCAAAGAAACCTCAAGCATTAAGATTACATCTTCAACTTGAAACTGAGGAGATGAAGGTATAATTAAGTTGGCAGTAATTTGAAGTCGAATCATTAAGATCGACTCTTTTGATCTTGCCGACCTTCGCCTGGAATTGATGTAATTATACGGAGAAAAGTTTTTAAAAGTAATTCGAACTTATCAGAGCTATTTAAAATGACTTGGCAAAATTATCGATAAGACTTTAGATTTAAAACTTAAATTCTATTCAAAAAGAATGTGGATGGTACTAAGATAAAGGAGGACCGAAGAAAGTATCGATAGATTGCGTAAAAGAGGATATACGTAAGAATGGATCAAATTCAGACATGACGACTGATAAATGTATGGAAGAGTATTCTATTTTATCGACTCTAGAGATCAGAACAGATTGATGATCAGCTCTTAAAAATGATACCGTCAGTCTCGACTGGTTCTTATTTCTCTCTTCAAAAAGAATACGGATATTTTTATGCATTAACTAGCTGTTCCCGTGCGGCTTCATCCGCATCAAATTGTGAAAAATTTATTTTATTGTTTACATTTGTCAAAATGACAGGACAAACCTTAGCAATCTTGCTTCCTTGATGTTTGCAGCAACTTATAGTCTCTTTCCCACATTAGGCTTTTTATCAAAAATATTTACCCCTTAAGTTTAATGGCGTGAAAATATATTGTCTAAAGCGTAACACAAATAAAGGGCATTTTATTAAAAAAAAAAATTAAAAAAATATGCTGTAATTGCTGACATCTTAAGCAACAAAGATGTGTGTGTTTACGCTTTATTATAATAGTATAGACAATAACGCAACTTCCTATATCTGAATATAATTTAATATCTTCAGTGACCTATCAGTTTTATATTTATCATAAATATGGAAGTACACATACGTAGGCTTAGAGCGTGCGCATATCTGAAACTAAATTATCGCAAAACTGATTAATCTTGCTTTGATTTCTATAAGCTTATATGGAGGCTTATACTTGATTTTTAGTTGTGCAACTAGACAGTTGAATTGGCCGCGAAACAATCGACTATCGCATAATTGTGCTATAGTTTAGTCAAAAGTGTGCCCGCTCTTAGAAAGATGGATAGCGTGAAAGGTGACATGATCAAGAAGGGAGTGACTGAGATGAATAGAGAATGGTGCGCAAATAATACGGTAGTTAGACAAGGATAGCGATATGATCTTTAGTGATATATAATCTGTGTTATCGAGCGTGGTTCGCCTTAAGTCGACTGCAACGAATTAATTAATCCGCGTTATTGAAAGCATCTATCAGAGCACATAATAGAGGGAGTTCAATATTAATACATTTTACTTTAGCATTAAGCTGGATAAAAAATTTGCAAGCAATATTGGATTTTCTCATTATTAAAATAGGGTAATAAATAATTAAATCTTATACCAAAACGCAGAACATGCGAAATCATTATCTCACGTCTTTCAAATTCTTACAAAGTTCCGGGATAGCCCTTTACTTATTTTGAAAAGCCTAGAGATTCTTAACAAGATTAACCGTTAAGGATAGTTACAATCATTTTAGAATACAATCAAAACCAAATATCATTCATCATAGCCATTGCTCACTTGAATATTATTAAACCAACAGATTTTGTAGTTTACTATTCTATCTTACATACGTATAAAACAATAATACGTCAACACACGTCAGTTTAAACAGTTCAACAGTTAAATTAAAACTATATGTGTGTAGCTGGCTTTAAAAGTTGATAAAATAAAATTCGTAATAATAACAAGGCATGTTTCTATTTCTGATAATAGAAGCGATAACAGCCAATAAAAGTATAAAAGGGCATAATCATCTAATGGCGGACACCTCAGCGGGTCGTTA